TTAGTCATTGTCAAAATAATATCCGTTGCCAAACTCAATGCTTAAATATTTTTTTTTTTAAAACGGCACTTAAGGCCCGCGAACCCGTCCCGTCACATCCCATTTGTTAGCGAGACGGGATGGGCCTACCGTCCGCCCCGTCCCGTTTCGTCCCGCAACCATCCCGGCTAAATGTCGTCCCGTCCCGTTAATTTTGTCCCATCCCGTCCCGTTAATTTTGTCCCGTTCCGTCCGACAGCCATAGTATTAAGTAAAATGAATAAGTGATATGGCACTAAAAGTTGAGATGGCTCCAAATACTAAAGAATAAAATTCATAAAAAGCTCATTCAGTAGCGACATTATATATTCGTAATATAAGACAAGATTTGGCATGCATGATTTTTGGACCTCTTTTAGCGACGCATTCTGTTGGGTACTATTTCCACGTAGGTCAACAAAATTACAGAAACTTCTTCCCTTTTTTTTCTTTTTTTCTTTTTTGGATTTCACTTTGTTTAGTTTTTTTTAATATCCATCAGAACCTTATTATGTCACACAAGTTGTATTCATCATATCATCTCAAATATTTGGCATCTGATAAGTGTTGAATAAACATATTGAATGTAACCCGACGTGAGATAATACTCAAGGTGCACGCAAGTAAATCCAGACACCACAAATTAGCAAAAATAAACAAATATAGCATAACCAATAAAACACAAAAAACTTTTGTGTGTGCATATCTTATTACCTGTAACTATGTCTAAAACAAATACAAGTACAAACAGCATCCTGCTCAACTCGAAATCATAAATACAACGACACAAAGTAAATGTTCATCAGTTGTCAAAGATTTCTGAAGCTAAGCAGGATTATGTACATCAAACTGCTCTGTTATACCTCCATGTTAATTCAAAAAAATGGGACTGCACTCTTATTATTTACAAAAATCTTGTATTAGAGGAGAAGAGATAAAAGAATGAACCTTTGGACCGAGGTTTATGTGTTAAAGAATCAATATGGCTGCTCTAGTCAATGCTTGAGGTTTGATTCCTACTTTGCTGGACATGTAAAATGCCATAAGCAAGTGAGAGTTGACAGCTATCAGAATGGATCCTGCAATAGAACACAAAGAACAAAGTTAAACCCTGATTAATTTCCATCCCGACACCAAAAGATATCAGGCCACGGAGAAGAGTTGTTGATCTTCTATTTACATATATATCAAGTTTTACATCAACGCAAAGAAGGATGAGGATATAAAGAGTCCTAGCCTAGCCCTCAAAGATACAAATAGAATGTGCAAATTGAAAAGCTCATTCAGATGTTCTCCATTTATTTTAAATTTTTGCCTTCACGTCTCTTTTTTCTTTTTCCTATTTCCATAAGCATCGCCCCAAGTTTTTGGATCAGTGAAGTAAGAACTGTGGCACCTTTAAGAAAAGTCAAGAGGTCCCCTAGATGTCTAAGTTACCTAGTCGTATTTTTATTTTATTCTTTTGATAAGCAAAAGTTACCTAGTAGTATTAATACTGGCTTTCCTTAATCTCCACGCTAGGTTCCATTCTAATAGGGGGGAAACATATACAGAAATAGATATACAGGCAAGACTATGTACAATGGAAGTTAATCATTCCCAAAAGCGAGACTTACATCTCCTTTCCCTTTACATTCCCAACTACCAAAAATATCAATTTCTTCTCATCAGCATTCATGACTATAAGGAAAGCAAAGCAAGAGGGCCTTTGAAGGACCAGGAGAGAAATGGAAATGAAAAACAACAAGATACAGTAGAGCAAAACACTTCATAGACAAAGAGACGAAAGGCTTCATTATTTTGTTCCATGTGCAAGTTTTTTTCCTGCTATTCAGATTAAAAATTCTTATGCTTCCCTCCTCTTCTCCTCGTTTTACCACTACGGCTCCTTTGCACTAAATTAGAAGTTCTTCATTTTGAGTTCTCAAGTCAATTCATGGATAATATAAGTAGGTTGATGATTAAGTCAATTCATGGATAATATAAGTAGGTTGATGATTATTCCTTCCTGTTACTACTGTAGTTGTTGTCAATACGATAGTATTGTTATTATAATGAGTGAACCATAATCTTTCTAGGCTAATTAATAGAGAAAAGGACATAATTTTGTTAACTAAAGCTAATTTTCTTGTGGAGATCCAAAAATTCTAGATAAATCAAGTTTCTATTTAAGTAAACGTGAAACCCCCATATAAAAGTGGTATAAAAAAGGTTGGTATCTGGAGAAAATAAGACTTCCTATGAGGAGTATCCGATCACCTACAATAAATGGGATCCGGTACTCCATTTTTTCACAAAATAAGAGCAGTGACCCTCTGCTATAAATAATGAACTTCCAATCTCTTCAAAAGTCAGATTCCTTTCTCTCCAAATGTCATGAGTGTTAAATAAGCAACTTCCCTAAGCTCTTTTCATTCTCTTCCTACTAGTTGCCCAACTAATGAACACGCCCTTCAGTTGCTGTCATTACCTAGTCAATACCAAACAGGCTACAAATTGTGGAGTCCAAGCTCTTTCCTTCTCTCTTTTTTTTTTTGAATGACAGTGGTGTCGGGGTCAATTTGTGGACACCTCGATTATTCTATCAGGTATCTGTTACCTCTCACCAGCATAAGTTCCGGGTAACTCAGCCTTTCCTTTCTCTTCCTGCTAACTGCTCGACTTAAAAACAAGGCTTTAACAGTTGCCAATATTACTTATTTCATATCAAACAGGTTCCGAATTGTATCGACGGCTGTAGAAACTGTCAGTGCAACAATAAGTGGATCACATCTTTCCCTTACCTCTTACACATATAACACCAACTGATGAGTGATCTTTCTCTTCCTCAGATTTTCGGTAGCAAAGATGGCCCCCCTAGCTGCCAACCAAACAAAGACTTAGGGGTCGTTTGGTTGGGAAATAAGTCATCCCAGGATAAATTATCCCGGGATTAGTTATCTCACCCTCCCATAGAGATGAAAATAACATTACAATCCCGGGATTAGTTATACCGCGATTTTATCCCAATCAAACGTGGGATAAACTCATCTCAAATTTGATCCCGGGATTAATTATCCCGGACCCCTCGCACCAAACGAGTCCTTAAAGTTTTATTTGCACCCTTGGTGCTATACTAAGGACTACAGAAAGTCTCTCAGTAACCTGTGAGAGAGAGAGACTTAACTGTGAAAATCCTTTGCTCTGTCCTTCTCACTTCCAGGACCTCTGACCTCAGTGAAAAAGCCGAATATTGATCTAGCAGTCCTTATCATCTAAGGTTGTCCACACAATCAGATGTCCAAAATGAACTCTCCAGACTTCAATCTAGCGAAGGTTCACCACAGTTTAGACTGCCTCACAGCCCCAGATTGATAAATGGGAATCTTGATTTCTCTGAAAAAGCAGCTCAGTTGAACCACTCTCCCGGATGATAATCATGTGGATTAGGGTTCACATACACAAGAAAAACTTGGTATCTTTGAAGATTCTCATACAGCAATAAAAAGTTAAATTCAGGTGTTGGCGACTACATTTTGAAGGAGCTTTATGGAGCTGTCTAGTATAAATGTAGTTATCCTAAATTCCTAATTCAGCCAGCCTATCTCATCGTGATTTGAAATACTTGCAACTAAACATTCGAGAGCATTCAACTTCTATGTAATCTGCAGTGAAATTGATTTGATACTGAACAAGAAAGCTTTATACTGCTCCATTTCACACACAAAAAAAAGGAGCCTTATACTGCTTGACACATTTGTTCTGTTATATCTTACCTTATAAAAAGAAAGTACTGCTTGACACATTTTCCTCCACTACCTCCAGGAGTCACTAGGGGCGTAATTGCTGAGATTTAACATTCAATCTAGAAACGAGAGAATAATCATGGAAACTGAAACTTCCTTCCTCATAAAATAGCCGCTTTCCTTCGAAATGATTAGTTCAATACTAAACAAGCTGATTCTTAGAATAAAAGGGAGTGAGACCTTTAGAGATTCACCGCTACTCTTAAACTTTGAGCGAAAGTATGAGACACACCAAATATAAAGGGTTTTATAGATCAAGGGAGACGAAGTTTCTTCTTCAGTTTTTTCCATTATATTGACCATGAAAAAGGCTGATTATCTTATTCTTATATCATGCTTCACTTAAACTTCATTAAGAAGCACGAATATGGTGGGGGTGGCAGAGCAACTTTATATACCTTTTTCCTTTTCACTGTTTATGTGAGATTGTGATCAACCATCAATGGGCGAAAAGTGAACCCCGATGCAAAGATTGCAAAAGACAACTGCCTATTCTGATTATTTGTATCAAGAGGTTAATATGAAAATACTACTATGTTCGGATACATGAATAGCAGACTGCTGCTGCTGTTTGTTGTCAGGGTAACTTTGATAATCTTTAAGGCTATTAATCCTAAATGAACTATCTTCTCTGATGGCAGAACGCTTGATGACTAAGTCTCAGAGATTCTGAAAGCATAAGGAACTAAGGAAGGAGCTTTTGTTTTGTGGATAAGGAATGAACTTAATTACTATTCTACTACAATGTACCATCAATTCATACACGCTCCTTCCATTTCACTAACTGAAGATTCTTCACTATTTGTAATATTCGAATCTTTCACTGCTTGGTGTTGAATGTTCATCTCATTTTGATAAACTGCATTAAATCTTTCTTCCTATTTTAGAAAGAGAATTATTCTTAATGAACATGCACCGACTATTCATACAAATGTCTGCATAGATTATTTGGCAAGCAAATGATGTCAGAAGTCCCAAAATTGAAGCAACCACATACCCAATATAATCCGACAAGTAGGATCTGGGAAGGGTAATGTGTATTTAAGTTGCTCTGACACGGGTACGGGTGTCCGACACAGGTGCGGATCTAGAGGTCGGATCCTTTAAGATGGAAATTTTAAGATTCGGGGATACGGATCCTAGAACCGACACGGGTGCGGGGATCCGACTAAAAATAATTCAAAAATAAAAATAAATATATCTCTAAATTATGTGGAGTACTTACCTATAACTTGTTAATGTGAATTTCTTCTTTATTCGTGTTTTTGCTACTGTTTTCTTATTTTAGATAGTCAAAAGAATCAAAAGCTTAAAGATTTCAAAGCAATCTCCACGTATAGTTTTTTGGGATCAAGAAAAACTTGTCCTTTTACGGTCAATTGAAATGTATAATTAAGAGTAAATCAAATATTAAAAGTTAGGACAGTGATGGGCCCGAGACAAAAAGGCCAATTTACAGTCAATTGAAATGTATAAATAAGAGTAAATCAAATATAAAAAGTTAGGACAGTGGTGCGCCCGAGACAAAAAGGTTTGTACACTTATATATGCTACAGTAAACGTGGATGACAGCAAGAAAGTAAAAAATGGTCAAAAAGCATATCACTTTTTAATGGTCAAAAAGCATATCCTAATTTGTCTCTAAGTCTTCTTCTTCATCCGCTCTTCTCTGCACTCACCTCTTCTTCTTTCCTTCTGTGAGTCTTCTTCCCCAACAAAACCTTTTCCATGTCTCTATTTTTTTTTCCAGTACAAAACCTTTTCCTTCTCTGTTTGGTCAACGCACTCGATCTTGTTTGACCGGATCCGACACAGATCCCACACCCTTACCCGTGTCAGTGTCGTGTCGACACGGCTACGGCACCCAAATTGCCGTGTCCGAGCAACTTAGGTGTGTATGCAGCCTTACCCCTAACTTGTGCAGGCAGAGAGGTTGTTTCCAATAGACCCTCAGCTCAAGCAAGCATGTATAATCAATCACAACAGAATAGAGAGATTGTTTTTGAAAATTTACAAAAAAAAAACCCGGAACTCAACATAGCTATTATAACTGATTATTATGCTGGAACTGACGTATAAATGTTGCATAATCACAAATGGCAAGAAAGTGTATATTAATCTAGATACTTAAAAATGTCAACAATTAGATTGATGACTTCAAAAGAAAGAACCAATATATGGTACTGCTTCACCTATAAAAAAAAAAAAGGGCAGCCCGATGCACTAAGCTCCCGCTATGCACGGGGTCCAGGGAAGGGCCGGACCGCAAGGGTCTATTGTACGCAGCCTTACCCTGCATTTCTGCAAGAGGTTGTTTCCACGACTCGAACCCGTGACCTCCTGGTCATATTGTACTGCTTCAACTATTCCCCAAAAGCCACTTTGTTTATTTTAATTTTACTATAATAAGCAAACTTAGGCAAGAGAAAACAAAGTTTTAAAAGGCAATCTCACGCACCTTCTGCATTTGACCTGCAAAGGTCAGCTCCTTCAACATGAAGCTCAGCCAGAACTCAGCTTACTCGCATTTGCAGAGCAGCTTCTGAAACAGAAGGTTTTTTCCTGCTTAGCTTCCTCTTCAAACAAGCTACAGAGAAAGTAGTTGAAGCAACCATACATGAGAGGCTATATTGTTAGATGAAAAATAAACTTACTTATTTCTGATTCGTGGAGCTGCAGATCAATTGCACCTCAAAAAATTCATTTGACTTGCATCATTTAACCATCTAGTTTAGACAATTCTCTTGCCAAGATAACATATGTCTGGAAACTAATAGTGCAGCTCTTGGACTCCATGACATGAAGAAGCTTCATGCACAATTCAGATTCTCTCTCCTTCAGTAAACCATCAATCAGAATGGTCCAAACAATCTCATCACTGTTCCACTGTTTCCCAAGCATGTTTTCAAATAACACTTCAACTTCTTTTAGTCGGCTTTTTTTACAGAGAGCACAAATGAGTGATTGATAAATTGACAAAGGAGGCCGAAAACCTTGTAGAATCAATGAATCAAATATTTCCATAGCGGCGTCCATTTTCAGATTCTTGCAGTAAGAAACTATAAGAGAGCAATTTACTGCACTAGTGGGACTGAAGCCTTTCTCTCTCATATGTTTTATCAACTGGTCTGCCTCAGCAGTTTTACCTTCTCTAGAAAGGCCAAGAACTAAAGTACAGTATGTGCCTGCATTTGGCTCACAACCAATTTCAGACATTCTATCTAAGAGAGTACATAACAGTTCAAAACTAACACCCTTCTTGCTAGCTGTGCTACTATACACTGTTTCATGCTGGATGGCGACCTCCCCTGAAATCAACTGACACTCCTGTTGCAATCCTTTCAACAAGACACCATAGGTTCTATAATTTGGTTCACAGCCCTTATCAACCATCTGGCGAAGAAGTAAAAATGCATGATCTAGTCTACCCAATGCTACAAAACCATCAATTAGTGAAGTATATGTCACATAATCAGGAGCTAATCCTTTTTTCTCCATTTCTCTGAGTAAGCTCTCTGCCTTATCAGCCTGGCCTTCAAGACATAAACCATGGATAAGCGAACTGTAAGTGTACAGGTTAGACGTGCAATTTCTTCTTTGCATATCATGGAAAATCTTAAATGCAAGATGAGTCCCCCCATTCCTACAAAGCCCGTCAATCAAAGTTGAGTAGGTGATGACATTTGGGAGCAGTCCACTTTCTGCAATCTTATTACAAAGTCTCTCTGCTTCCAAAAGCCTATTTTGTTTGGACAAACCATTTATAATAGCATTGTATGTTTCAATGCCTGGACTGCAACCACTCTCTTCCATCCTTTTAAGTAATGCGAGTGCATCGTCCACTTTCCCTTCCTTGGAAAGACCATCAATTAAAGCTGTATAGTTGACCTGGTTTGGACTTAAACCATGCTTTATCATTTCCTGGAAGAGAGCAGAAGCCGAGTCAAGCTTGCCCCTCTTGCAGAAACCAGAAACAAGTTCTGCATAAGTCCATTCATCAGGTTTACATCCATTATTCTTCATCAAATCCAGCAGTCTCACAGCATTGTTGAGAAAGCCCCGTTGAAGGTAGCCACTAATGAGGGTATTATAAGTAATCACTGTAGGAGCCGGACCCACCTTTAGCATTTCAGTGAGTAGAACCATTGCCCTTTCAATATTCCCAATCAAGCATAATCCATGGATAAGTGCATTGCAAGTTATAGTGTTGGGTACGTATCCATGTGCTTCCATCCAACGGAAAATTCTAAAAGCATTACCAACTTTTCTTGCTCCACATAATTCATTTATCAATACATTGAATGTAATCATAGTTGGGAGCAAACCTTTTCTAATCATGTTGTGGTACAATCCAATCGCCACTTCAAGGTGGCCAGATTGAGACAGCCCGCTAATTAGAGCTGTATATGTCTGGACATTCGGTTCACATCCCCTCTTTCTCATGCTCACTACAAGATCAACAGCCTCCTTCTCCCGTCCAACTGCACACAAGGAACTAACTGGAACTGTGTATGTATACACAGTGGGTTCAATGCCTTTCTCAATCATCTCCTCAAGCATACCCAAAGCCTCATCAACTCTCTCCACCGTGCAGAGTCCATTTATAAGAGTAGTATAACTTGCTGCATTCGGATCTATTCCGTCCTGAACCATCCTATCAAACACCATAAACGCTGCATCCAAATCCTTGTTCCTACAATGCCCAAGAATCAAAGATGTATATGTAAATACATCAGGACTCAGTTCGCGCTGATAAATATGACCCATTATCAACATGGCCTCCTGGACTCTCCCTTTCTTGCACAATATGTTTATCATAGTATTAAAAGTCAATAAACTCGGCTCGATTCCATTACTCATGATTTCTTGATAAGCACTCTTAGCTGCCTCAACCAAGTCAAACTTACCCAACTGAATCAACAAAGTATTAAAGCTATACAAACTGAACCCAAGACCTTTTCTGCTAAGTTCACTTAAATAGTCAATAACCCATTTCATTTCCTCCTCATTCCTACAAGCTTTGATCATTAAAATCCTCACATGATCAGCAGGAGCAAATTTCTTATCAAAAACAAGCCTATTTAACATCGAAACATAACAGCTCATATCGTGTTTGTAAAAATGCCTCTTAGAAACCCAATAAAAAAACTGCAAAGCTACTTCAGTATTTTCATGGATCTCAACGAGTTTTGCCACGTGGCGGGGTCTTAATTTGGAGCTCAAGGATTCAAGCTCTCTGCTTGTCTTCCATTGCATTCGCGGATTAGACAAAATTTCAGAAACCTTTGAAACAACGAAAGAAAAATTCCTTTTTTCCGGTATTGTATGTAGGGAAACAAATTGTTCATCAATTTCGGGTATTGAAGAAAATTGAAGACGGCCCAGATGAGAGAAACGCCTGGGTTTAAGGGACTTTAACATTTCGAGCGGTGAAACTGAGGATAATAACAGTGAGAAGAGTTCATGGAAATGTTGTAAGATGGGTTAGAAAATGGAGGAGTGTTGTTGTTGGGTTGAGTCATAGGTGAACGTGGTCATGAGAAGACCACAACAGAGATGGTGAAAGAGAAGAGAGAATAAACGGGGGGCTGCGTAGGCTAATGGCATCAAATTTGAATAGCCAAACTGGCCCCAAATGCTAGCTCCTTAAATGGAGTCCCTAAAAAGATTTTTAGGGTTATTCTTGGGTTTCAAAAATCGTCTGAGCAAGATGGACCTAGTGTTACTATTTCTTTTCTTCTTCTTTTTTCATCCAATATTGTCTTTGAAACTTCAATTCGATATCTCTTATTAAAAATTAGTATAAAATTCACACGGTACGGACATTATTAAAGAATATTAATCATGTCAAGTTATAATTTAATTTATCGAGCAAATAAGAGACACTATTGCTTTAATAGTTGTGATTGAGCAAATTAGAGATATTGTTGCTCTAATTCCACTAATATCGTGTTTATCAATGCAACATAGGCAATAACATAATCTTTTTAACACTAAAGGAAGCAAATCAAATAATCACCGAATAATTTCTGTTCTTTGTTTTTCTTTACTAAATTATCTACTAATAAAGCAACAATCTTCACGAATTAGAGGTACTAGTATTCATATTTCATCTTATTTGTGTGTCCATATTTGCTTTTGAGCTTAAATTTGAGTATTATAAAAAGGCAAGGAAAGAGGCAAAATTAGTAGTCATAGCGACTAAGACAGCAGCATTTGAACGATTATATGAGGATCTTGGGGGCAAAGGAGGTGATAGGAAGTTGTACGGGTTAGCCAAGATTAGCGAGAGGAAGGCTCAGTACTTGGACCAAGTGAGGTGCATCAAATACGAAGATGGTAAGGTACTGGTGGAAGAGGCGTGTATGAGGCATAGATGGCAGAACTACTTCCATAAACTCTTGAATTGGAATGAGACAGGAACATCGTGCTAGGTGAGTTAGAGAATTCAAAGAGTCGGAGAGATTTTGGATTTTGTAGGCGTATTAAGAGCGGGGAGTTTGAGGGGCAATGCAAAAGATAAACAGGGGTAAGGCGATTGTGCCTGACGAGATCACGGTGGAATTTTGGAAGGAAGCGAGTCGGTTAGGCTTGGAGTGTCTTACTGGTTTGCTTTCGGAATTGGCGGTAGAGTTTCATGATCTCATTGTACAAAAACAAAAGTGATATCTATAACAACAACAACTACAGGGGGTATCAAGTTGTTGAGTCACTACAGGGCCCGAAGATTGGCGGTAGAGTTTTATGATCTCATTGTACAAAAACAAAAGTGATATCCAGAACAACAACAACTACAGGGGTATCAAGTTGTTGAGTCACACTATGAAAGTTTGGGAGAGGATAGTGGTGAGGAGGGTGAGGAGAAGTATATCCATTTTTGAGAATCAGTGCGGATTTATGTCGGGATGGTCAACTACAGAAGCCATTCACCTTGTGAGGAGATTAGTGGAGCAGTATAGGGAGAGAAAAAAGGACTTGCATATGGTATCCATTGGCCTAAAAAAAGTATATGACATAGTCCCGAGGGAGGTCTTATGGAGATGTTTGGAGGTTAGCGGTGTCCTGGTAGCATACATTAAGGTGATGAAGGACATGTACGAGGGAGTTAAAACTCGAGTGAGGACTGTGAAAGGAAACTTGAAATATTTTTCATTAGAGATGGGGTTGCATCAAGGATTGGCTCTTAGCCCGTCTTTGTTTGCCTTAGCATTGGATGTGCTGATGCGACACATACAATGAGAGGTGCCATGGTGTATGTTATTTGCTGATGACATAGTCACGTCACAGTTAACACTAGACTAGAAGTTTGGAGACAGACGCTAGAATCTAAAGGTGTCAAGTTGAGTAAGTCGAAAATAGAGTACTTGGAGTGCAAGTTCAGTTATGGGATACATGAAGAATAAGTGGAAGGGAAGATTGATACTCAATTCATCCCCAAAAGAGATAGTTTCAAGTATCTTGGGTCTGTAATCCAAGACAATGGGGAAATTGATAAGGATGTTACTCATCATATTGGAGTGGGGTGGATGAAATAGAGGCTCGTTTTGGGGGGTTTTGTATGATAAGAATGGGCCATCTAGACTTAAGAAAAAGTTTTACAAGAATGGTGGTTAGACCAACTATGTTGTATGAGACTGAGTGTCGGCCCGTCAAGAAGTTCCATGCCCAGAAGATGAAAGTAGCTGAAATGAAGATGTTAAGTTAGATGTGTGGACATACTAGGAAATACAAAATTATGAATGAAATTATTAGGGACAATGTGGGAGTGGCCTCTGTGGAGGACAAGTTGCGAGAATCGAAGCTGAGAGCCTGAGATGGTTTGCATATGTGAGAAGGAGAGACATAGATACCCCAGTCAAGAGGTGTGAAAGGTTGGCCATGGTGGTCTGAGGAAGGGTGGGGATAAGGCAAAGAAGTATTAGGGGATAGATAATTAGGTAGAACATGTCATTGCTTCAGCTTACCGAGGACATGACCCATGATAGGAGTGTGTGGAGGTCAAAGATTAGGATTGAAGATTGACAGGTAGCCGTGAGTTAGAAGTAGGCTTACTAGTAGTACTAGTACTATTCTTGTATTTTCTTATTCCAAGTTCTTTATTATTATATGCTATTCGCTTCTGTTACCCTATTATATTATTTTTAATATTGTTTGTTGCTTTATTTTCATTGTTCCTTGAGCCGAGAATCTATGAGAAATAACCTCTCTTTTTTATAGGGTAAGGGTAAGGTATGCGTACACACTACTCTCCCCAAACCTCACTTATGGATTAAGCTTGAATTTGAGATCTCTTATTAAAGATGGATGAATATTTATATGCTATCACAATTTAAGGCATATATCATGTTAGTTGAAAAAAGATATTATTAAATTAAATGATATATAATTTGAATAACTAGATGAATTTGAATCATCAAATATTGTACAAGCTATATAATATTGTTACTGGAATAATATCAACCATTTTTATAATATTCTACTTGAAAATAGTATTATATAAAGTGGGACAACAAAATTTCAACATATAAATTGAAATTAGCGGGTAAGGTTTAAGATTTAACTCAATCGACATTTGTTTGGGCTGTGAAATTTTTGGGATCCACTCTAACCCTGTAAGAAAAGGCTTTAATTCAAAGTTGAAGTCGCTTTAAGTGATCACATAAACGAGGCAAAGGAAAAGGAGAAGAAATATAGGCTAGAAAGAAAATGATTAAAAGAAACAAGTGAAGTTGAAAAAAAATTAGAGGGATGTAAAGTTACAACATGAGTCGATACAAGTTGAACGTAATAAAAAGATGTCCATCCCATTTTATTTGGATTTGGAAAGAAAGAAGAAAATAAGCTCTTTATTCTTTTTTAGAATCTTTTCTTAAAGTTATGTTAATTCAAAAATAGTAAGAAAAATTAGAAAGATGTAAAGTTACAAGATGAGTCGATACAAGTTGAACGTAAGAATTTGAAAATTTGAGATAGAATCGATAGCAATTAGGAAACTCTAGTGATTAACCAAGGAACCCTGATTAACAAAGCACCACATGAGATTTAATAGGATAACTGCTATTTAGTCACAACTCAATAGGGCAAATTAACATCCTACGTCTTTAATAACATAGATTCCAAACCTTTTGCTCTAGATCATTAATTATTTAATAAACTTGCATTCACTTTAAAGCTTGAAATCGGTTCATGGTTATAACATCACTTATTTGGAAGAGCGTAATTTATCGAAGTTAACCAAACTTTCGCTATCTACATCGTTAGTTCAATATGTAATCAATTTCGAATTCTTTAACTGGATTATATTAATAGCAAGCCATTAACCTTTTAAAGTTGTTTGAACTTTGAAAGCAAAGTAGAAAATGAATGATGTGAGTTGAGGCAAATTTCATAGATTATCACGTTAAAATAGCACGGGCTAGTCAGTTTTCGGATTGGTCATTCAAAAATAGCTGGTGTTTGCCAAGTCATTGAAAAATAGCCATTATTTTGCTGCAACAGAGACCGGTCCAGCATAATATACTGGAGTTCGGTGCACTTGTCTATGAACTTCCAGCATATTATGCTGGACTGGTATACTTTATTAGCTCCAGTATAATATGCTGAAGTTCCAGTATACTTTGCTGGAACTCCAGTATATTATACTGGAGTTCCAGCAAAGTATACTGGAACTCTAAACTCCAGTATAATACTGGAGTTCCAGTATATTATACTGGAGTATTTTTCGGATTGTGAACAGTGTTTTCGTTCAAATTTATCTTTACATGAAAAGTGGTTAAATTTCGATAACTTTTGAAACCGTGGCTATTTTTGAATGGCCACTTATAAATTTGGCTATTTTTAAATTTCTCCCGATTATCACGAGTACTACTACTAGTGGTCCATTAGACCATTTAATTAAATGTACCTAATCTGATCATACTATTAGGCCAACGGGGTAATTGTCACATGTAAAAGTACCTTTGAAACATTATCATTCAACTTATTTTTGAGAAATAGTTAACGAGCGATCAAGGGCGGCCCATTGGTTAATAAAGTGAATGCAAACTTCGAAAACTTGGATTTACATTTGAAAAATGACACTGTATAACCGCTGTAAAAATAATAGCCGAAAAAATATATAAAATTTATATATTTTTTTGTATATATATACATTCTGTATGTTATATACAAAAATTGTACAAGTTTTATACATTTTTTCGGCTACCAGATGTAAATAGTTTATGGCACGGGCTAAAAATGATAATACCCCATTTAAATTCTACTCTAGTCCATAATAAGTGACTTTTTAGCCTTTGATACACCCATTAAGAAAATACTAACTCCTAAAGAAAAAATATATATTCACTAAATTACCGTTAATTAATTGTTATCTAGACACATTGGGATATGTAAATAAGGGTAAACTTTGAAAAAATAAAATTAATTACTTCTTGATTATGTAAAATGATACTTATTTTGGACCAAAATAAAAAGGCCAAAAATTCACTTATTATCCGGAGGGAGTACTTTCTTCGGTCCATTTTAATTAATTTTTTTGACCTATTTTTTGTGGTCCATAATATTTTTAATTTTTTTCAGATATCAAGAAGGAATTAATTTCTTTTTTTTCAAAGTTACCCTTGGAGTAAAGAGCCTAAGATTATTTGTTATATTTTCAATGAGCAAATTAAAGTTAATATGGTCAATTTTAGTGTTAATTAATGTTAAAAAGTGGTTTCCTTAATATGCGCAAAAACAAGC